AGTTGGGGCGCCACCCCCTGTCATGCACAGAGCAGGGCGGATTGGGAAGTTGCGATGCCACCCCCAGTCACGCTCAGGGTAGGGCCAATTGGGGGTTTGGGGCACTGCCCCCTGTCACACTCAAGGCAGGGTCAATGGGGAGGTTGCGGCGCCACCCCCTGTCACGCACAGAGCAGGGCCCATCAGGGGGTTGAGGAGCTCCCCCCGTCACTCACAGTAGGGCCGATAGGGGAGTTGGGGCACCATCCCCTGTCACACACAGAGCAGGGCAGATCAGCGGGTTGGGGCACCGCCCTCTATCACCCACAGAGCAGGGCCAATCAGGGGGTTGGGGCGCCGCCACTGTCACACTCAGGGCAGGACCGATGGGGAGGTTATGGCTCTACTCTGTCACACACAGAGCAAGGCCCATTTGGGGGGCGGGGGGGGAGGGGTTGCCGCACCCTGTCACACACAGAGCCACAGGGCGATCAGGGGGTTTGGGCACAGCTCCCGTCACACTGATCCCAGTACCGGGAGGCCTTGCGGCTCTGCTGATCCCGGTGCTGGGAGGCATATTACCCTTTTACTATATAGGGTAGAGGCCTGGTGCATGGGTGGGGCCGGCTGGTTTGCCCTGAAGGGTGTCCTGGATCAGGGTGGGGGTCCCCACTGGGGTGCCTGGCCAGTCTGGGTGAGGGGCTGAGGCCTTTTTCAGGCTGGTGGGTGACAGAAGCTCCCAACCGCTCCTTTTTTCCTTTTTTTTTTATTCTGAGCCAGCTTTAGCTTTGAGGCTTGACTCCAGCTCTTAGGCCTCCAGGGCTGAAAGTAGGTTTCTGACCTTTGCATACAATGTTGCGAATCTGCTGGCTGAAGTCTGCTGGTATTTGTTACAGAGTTTCTGAAACTGGCGGCTCAGAGGCGTGCAGTCGCAGGCGGGGAAAGTTGGTTTCCTCCATCACTGAGGCAAGCAAGCCTCATGTTAGTTTCAAGCTGCCTGGCTGCTGGTTGCCATCTTGGCTGACAGTTAATTTGCATATTTCACTGATTAGCCAATGAAAAGGGTAGAGGTCGTATGCCAATTACCATGTTTCTCTTTTATTAGTGTAGGTGATCTTTTTGTGGATTCTGTTATATTGAAACAAGCTTACCATTTTTTTAATCTACTTTGTTGAGATACTATTCAACATTCTTAAAAATGTATCTTAATTGGACAATTGAGTTTTGACAGTTATAACCTACACACACACCCCAATTTTTTGTACCTCTTTGTAGCAATGCCCCTACTGTACCCTGGCCAGCTTTCTTTTGTCATAGAATAGATTTACCTTTTAAAAATAAACAAAAAACAATTTTCTTGAGGTATAATGCACATACAGTAAAGTGGTTTATCCTTTTATTAATAGTTTTCCTGGTACCAAAATATTTATTTGGCCTCATCACTAAGACATTGCTTTGCTTTGAGATGTGGAGTGGTGTATAGTGATGTAAGGCTTGGAGAAGAGGTTTGAATCCATCTAGTCTTAATATGTAACTTTTTAGTAAATTCTGAGTTAAGATATTGCAGTAACTTCTATAAATATCGTGTTTTATAAACAAGCATCATTAAAAGTATGACATTATTTATCACTTTGTTTGGTGTTTGGTGACTTGTATATGCTGAAAGTTTGAATTTTAAGAGGCTGCGTTTTTCACATGGATAAATTTCTAATGTCTTTGCCTGAAGATATATTTTTTTAATGAGTTGTTTTGCTATTTTGGTTACGAATTTTTTAGCTCCTTTCTCCCTCTAAGTCCCTTCTCCTCCTCCTCCTTCCTAGAATATAAACTTTAACTAATGAAGTAATACTGAACTGGAAAAGTGTATTAAACTAGTGTTAATATTATTTACATAAAAATAATATAATTTTATATATTAGTAATCAGTATAAAAGCTTGATATTCTGTACCTAGGAAAACATTGTCCAGTTAGATCAGTGATGGCGAACCTTTTGAGCTCAGCGTGTTATATATTTAAATGCCATTAACAAAGAAAAATCAACCAAAAAAATGAGTTCGCGTGTCACCTTTGGCACGCATGTCATAGGTTCGTCATCACTGAGTTAGAATAATGTCAGGGCTAAGCCAACAGCTATATAGGAAATGTAACGGATTTTTATGAACGAGAGCACAGAGGATGTAAAATGTCAATGGAAATACTTTCTACAATATATTGTACTTAATTTTAATGATTCATAATCTTAATCTTGAAAATCAAGTAATCTAAACAACTACTATTTTAATGGGATGATTGAGTTTTATTATGTGTATGCCAAGAATAATTAGATGTTATTTTACCTCTTAAATTTAGAGCAGGGGTCCTCAAACTTTTTAAATGGGGAGCCAGTTCACTGTCCCTCAGACCATTGGAGGGCCGGACTATAGTTTAAAAAAAAACTATGAACAAATTCCTATGCACACTGCACATACCTTATTTTGAAGTAAAAAAACAAAACAGGAACAAATACAATATTTGTATTTGCATGTGGCCCGCGGGCCGTAGTTTGAGGACCCCTGGTTTAGAGACTGGGGCTAATGTCATGCACAGTACTTTAAAAAATAGCAGTAGGAAGTAATCAGAAATCTAAAATACTTGAACATTTTTCAAGTACAGTAAAATCACGGTATAATAATTCGGGCGAGGGGCTGTCCATTAAAGCCGAAAGTCCATTATATAATAAAGTAGATTTTCCAAGTGTGTATGATAAAAAATTGACAAATTAGTTTACCTATTTTTACTTATGTAGACATGTTTGTGTAATTAAAATGTATGAAAAGTTTAATTTCACAGAGAAGTTTTCTATATGTAATACTATAATTTTAAATTCATACTGAATAGATCTAGTACATTTGTGCAATCATCAGTCAACTCGAGTAAGTAAATGCCACATGGCTGGGCCGTGGCTTAGCGCACGTAGGAACTTGGCCAGCACACAAATTAAAACTGCTGCAGAAAGTTACACCATGCAACAGCAGAACCAATTACTGTGTGCGATGCACTGTGATTACCTGCTAATCATTGACCAAACATTGTTTGCAAGTAGTGACTCTTGGATTCAAATATATATACTATGGTTGTAGATATGTAATATTTATATATGTCAGCAAAATTACTACAGTGTTTTTTCCAATATATGGTCTATTCTCTAAAATTTGTTAAAAATGACAGTGAGCTTGGCAGGAGTGGCTCAGTGGTTGAGCGTCAACTTATGAACCAGTAGGTCACGGTTTGATTCCTGGTCAGGGCACATGCCCAGGTTGCTGGTTCCATCCTCCGTGTGGGGCATGCAGGAGGCAGCCAACCAGTGCTTCTTTCTCATCATTGATGTTTCTGTTCTCTCTCTCCCTCTCCCTCTCTGAAATCAATAAAAATATATATATATTTTTAAATGTATTAATAACAAAAGAATAACCTGTTAATTATAAGCAAATCTTGGTTAAAAGAATTTTAAAATTAACAGGGTGTTAATTTTCATGTATGACATACAGACCAGAATGTGACTATTACATCCAAATTCCATTAAATTGTCCAAAAATTTGAGGGTTAACTGTACTTGGAAGGTTTTTTTTTAAATGTACAATTCCTTTGTCTATTTTATTGGTACTGCATTTGTCATAGGGAGGGTGAATATAAAGTTGATGCTCTGAAGAGTACAACTACATCAGAATTATATAAAAGTACTAGAGGCCCGGTGTACGAAATTCGTGCACGGGTGGGGTCCTTTGGGGTGGTCTATGGAGATCAGGCCCTAGCTTGCTCCCCCAGCCTCACAGCCCCAGTCTCACAGCCACGCCTGGCACCCAGCCTTGGCCTGGCACCGCCTGCTCATCCCATCCCCTGCCGATCGGGGCCTCCACTCTCACCTGTGTTGGCCTGGCCCCAGCCCCACCACTGGTCACCGTCTATGGGGTGATCTATCAGGGCCAGGCCCTCTGCCCAGCTCCCTCAACGCCTGGGAGCCGGGTGGCGGCCCTGCCCCCTGCTGCTGCCATTGATTGCCATCTGCAGGGCAGTCGGGCCCCCGCTCACACCTGCCTTGGCCTGGCGCTGCCCGCTCACCTGCTCCACCATCCCACTGCAGTCCTGCTCTCATCAGACCCATCAGGGCTGGCAGCACCTCTAGTGCTGCCCGCTGCCAGTGTCGTAGTCGATGCCCACCATGTTTCACGCCCTCCCCTGGTGGTCAGTGCACATCATAGCGAGCGGTCGAACTCCCAGTCAGTCGAACTCCCACCCAAGGGGACAATTTGCATATTCAGCTTTTATTATATAGGATTATTACAGTGCTAAGTCTAAGTATATCCCAATATCCTGGAGTTCAATTATTTTTCATAACAGACTGGTAAAGTTGAATTTTTTGTGTGACATGAACTATTGAGGTGGCTACAAAAATGAAAAAGATAGTCTTTTTCCAGAAGAACCAAGTTCCATAGTAATTATAAAATCTAAATATAACCAAGTATACGGTAAATGCTATAATTGTGTTATGTGAAGAATGGTTGAGAATACAGAGACAAACTGCCTAATGTAATAGGAGAGGTTTCATTGAGACAGTGATAAATGATAGTACTGGAAATAGTACTATAAAGAAATAGTACTGCAAGTTTTCCTCATTTTTACTTTTTTTTTTAAATTTACTGTTTATTTCTTTGTGCTACAAAAAGGATTAAAAGTGGTTCAAGAAATCTTAGCCCATCTCCTATTATTTTTACTTTTTGCCTTTGTCCTATCCAATTTTTATAACAGCCTTATTAACTTATAGGAAAACTCTTGTTTATTCTTCAGTATTTTTCCAGTTTTATTGAGGTACAATTAACATATCCTAGTAGCAATTTCAGGTGTACAACAAGCACACATATATAGTGAAGGGATTACAATAAGTTAAACATCTATCATCTCACACAGTTACAATTTTTTTCTTGTGATGATTAAGTAATTTTTATTTAATTTTTTTTTTCATGTAGTTTACTTTCTTTTTTAGACTGAATCTGGTTATGGATCTGAATCCAGCTTGCGTCGACATGGTTCAATGGTGTCACTGGTGTCTGGAGCAAGTGGCTATTCTGCAACATCCACCTCTTCATTCAAGGTTTGTGGTTTTGAATGCTTTAAGTTAAGGCCTCATAAGTTGAATTTATTACTGAATATTGTGAACAGAACTTATTTAATAGTTTTTTCAAAAGAACTTCTCTACAATGTAATTTATTTTTAAGTTCAGAATAATTTTTTAAGGGTTAACATTTATGACTCATACAAATAGAAAATGAACACATCAAAGATTTTTTTCTTTAATAGATAAGACGTAAAAATAAATTGGTTCAAAGGAGAATCTGAAGAATGACAAAATGATTTTGCTAATATATGCAAAACTATTCAGTATCCACAGTTTAGAAACTAGTATATCTCCACAAACAAGGTTCATTTGCATATCTGGCCAAAAATCATTTACATTACTCTTATTTTTCTACTACTTAAAGAGTTATAAAATAGGCCAAATGTAATGAAATCAAAGACTTCTATATGATTAGACAGCATTCCATAAATGCTAAAGGTTCCATAGATAGCACACACCATTCCTTTGAAAGGATATCCAGTAATATTTTTTCCCATTTTAAAGCCTTTGACGATTATTTTTTTATTTTTATTGCTTAAAGTATTAAAAAGAGTGTTACATATGTCTCCTCCCCCACCCCTTGACATTCCCCTGGCCTCCCCTACCCGCCAGTGTCTTATGTCCATTGGTTATGCTTATATGCATGCATACAAGTCTTTCAGTTGATCTCTTACCGCCCCCCCTACACGCCCCCAACCCTCCCCAGCCTTCTCGCTGTAGTTTGACAGTCTATTCAATGCTGCTCTGCCTCTGTACCTATTTTTGTTCTTCAGTGTATAATGGTCTTTATTATCCATAAACAAGTGAGATTGTGTGGTATTTTTCTTCTATTGACTGGCTTATTTCACTTAGCATAATGCTCTCCAGTTCCATCCATGCTGTTGCAAATGGTAAGAATTCCTTCTTTTTTACAGCAGCATAGTATTCCACTGTGTATATAGAAAACTTTGATAATTTTTTTCTCACAATGTCAATCATTTGAAAATACTAAATTTTACATGAGCAAATTGTCAGGCTTATTTGTCCCTTATTTCCTTCAGGCTTATCACTATCTGGTCACTGTTAATCAGTTTCAAGTTAATTCCTAGGAGTATTACATTGAGCTTGACAGCTCTCCCTACCCAGTGGCCCTCATTAGTAAGATATAGACCTTAAAAAGTGATGAAATACAATAGGACTAAATAAATTACAGTTTTGTTCATTTAGATTACATCCCCCACCCCCTTTTTTGTGTTTTGCAGAAAGGCCACAGTTTACGTGAGAAATTGGCTGAAATGGAAACCTTTAGAGATATCCTATGTAGACAAGTTGATACTCTACAGAAGTACTTTGATGCCTGTGCTGATGCTGTCTCCAAGGATGAACTTCAAAGGGATAAAGGTTAATTAGGCTATTACCACTATTTTTACTTGGAGAATGAATGGATGTAAAGCCTCTTGATCTTAAAGGGTAATGTCTTTAACTGATAAAGGTAATTAATAGTCACTTTTGCTGCAAACCCCCAATGTAACAGATTTCAGTGTCTATATAACTTGTATACTTTAATAACGCATCTTAATTATTCTGATCACTCATACATACTAGATTCCAATGAAGATTTTTAAGTTCTTTATTTTATTAAAAAATAGCGTCATCTTAGTAATATGGTGCATTTTATATGATTATGTCTAATATATTTACCCTATGATGAATCTTAGAGATAGGCATATGTTTATATTAAATCCTCCAGTCTGGAATCAATTGATCTCTTTCTCCTCTCTTTTTTTTCCCTCCTTCCTCTCTGTCTTTCTCTTTTCATCTTCCTCTCTTTATCACTCTCCCTTCTCTGGCCTCTGTTTTATGGAAGAGGAAATCAATAATTGAGCTATATATACATTTAAGAATATAGTGAGTTTTGTTAATAAATATAATCTTCAATTAACTTATAATGTGAGTTTTGAACTTTTTCTTTGTTACTGCTGAAGATATATTACTGATGTCAACATCTGTTCTTCAGTTTTTCTCTTATTTGCTGTGAAGGCAAATTATTGCTAAATAGCACTACTTTTATTCACAGTATAACTAAGTTGCATGACATGGTTTCATTTCTTGATCTTATTAAAATGTGTTTGATCCGAGTTCAGATTCTTTTGTCTTCTCTGTTCTTTATTTCCTTTGTTTGCTTTTTAGTTATAATTGTTATTTTAGTGGCTATTTAAGTTTATAGTATACACATTTAATTTATCACCATATATCTTCAAGTAATGTACATCAAGTACTCTAAGGAAACTTTTTCCTGGAATCCTCTTAGTTGGTTCTTTCCCTGACCTCTATAGTTCCCTCATTTGTATGTGCTATCAGCACTCTGCTGAATACTCAAGGGGACCCTTCTTTCAATCTTCTGGGTTCTCTCTCTATACAGCTCTCTCCTTTCTAGTATTCTCTCATGTGAACTCTAGTTGCCTTTGTCTCTCTGGACTCAGCTCCATTTCTTCACCTCAGAGAGTCTACTGAGCTTCTCCTGGGTTCCTCCTTACTCTACAGCTTGGAATCTCTCCCAAGGCAGTAAGTGGGATACTCATAGAGTTCAGATCTTGCCACTTATAGGTGATCATCAGTTTTTTTCATATAAAATGTTTTACCAAATCTTTTTTTGCCAAATGTACAGTGTTCTTGAAAACCATCGTTTCATATATTTTGTCTAGGTTTTAATTTCATGCTAGAGGGTAAATTCAGTTCCTTTATTCTGTCTTGGCCAGAAGCAGAAGTCCGTATCTCTTAAAATTTAGACAAAATAAGTAGCTTTGATGTTTTTTATATTTGATACACTTTAAGTTCTTGGTTCTTTAACATTGGATGTTTATTTCTCTAAAAATAAAGGTAGTTGAGCTATTTCTCCTTCATTAAAATATATATATATATATACACACACATATACATATATATATGTAATAGTCCCTCAGTATAAACAGGGGATTGGTTCTAGGACGCCCCCCCCCGACCCCCAGCTGATACATAATCAGCAGATGTCCAAGTTCCTCATATAAAATGGAGTAATATTTGCATATAACCTACACACATCCTCCTATATACTTTAAATCATCTCTAGATGACTTATAATACCTAATCCATTGTAAATGCTATATAAATAGTTGTTATAATGTATTGTTTAGGGAATAATGACAAGGGGTAAAAAAGTATGTTCACGTTCAGTACAGACAAAGTCATTGTAGGCCTAGCAACAAAGTACATGTCAGCAACGATGTAACTTTCTTCAATTACTTTCAGTCCATGGTTAGTTGAATACACAGATACAGAAAGCTGACTGTATATAGCCTTTTTACCAAATTAAACATTACCCATCAACTTTCATTTGCTTGAAAATATCCCTTTAAATTAAATCAGTATATATCTGAATTGGATTCCTTGTTTATTTTTTATTTTACCTTTTTTTTTTTTTTTAAGAGACTGGAAGGGAGAGGGGGAGACAGAGAAACATTGATGTGAGAGAGACTTGGACATCTGCTGATTATGGTATCAGCCAGGGGCCCATCAAATGGTTGTCTCCCACACAGTGCAGGGGATTGAGCCTGCAACTGAGGTATGTGCCCTTGACTGGGAATCAAATCTGGGACTCTTCAATCTACAAGCCAGCGCTCTATCTACTGAGCCAAACCAGCTAGGGTTCCTTGTTTATTTTTAAATTAGAGGCCCAATGCACGAAATTCGTGCAAGGGGCTCGGCCCTTACAGCTGTGGTGGCTTGCCTCAGCCCCCGCAGCCCCTGCTTCATCCGGGAGGTTATCCGGAAGGACGTCTGGAAGGTCGTTAAGCTGTTCATTTTAATTAGCATATTACGCTTTTATTATTATAGATGATCCACATCAAAAGTATATACCGTTTGAAAGACAAAAGTGATAGCGAGAGGAGTAGAAGTTGGGCTGCAGTTATAACCAGGTTGTGTAGAAAAGTTGAAAAATGATTTTAAACATTATTCATTTTGAATAAATGATAACAGTGGTAGACTACTGCATTAGTACCACAGTCTGGGTGGCTTAAACAACAGAAATTAATTTTCTTACAGTTCTGGAGGCTGGAAGTCTGAGATCAGGTTGTTGGCAAGGTTAGTTCCCTCTGAGGGCCATGAGGGAAGGAACTGTTTGAGTCCTCTCTCCTTGGCTTATAGAAGTTCGTCTTCTCCCTGGGTCTTTATGTCATCTTTCTTCTGTGTCCAAATTTCTTCCTCTAATAAGGACATCAGTCATATTGGATCAGGGCCTACCCTAATGATCTCATTTTAACTTGATTATGTCCATAAAGTCACTGTCTCCAAATACATTCACATTTTGAGCTATGGGGGAGTTAGGACTTTGACATATGGATTTTAGGGGTACACAATTCTGCCTATAAAAATTGTTTTATCTATAATTGCTCTTTTTAGAAATATTGACAGTTTTCAGAATACATGTTGGATAAAGGCAAAATAAGGACATGGACCTTAGTTTTCTATTTTGATTGTAGATCAGAGATGCTGACCTATGTCTTAGGGATCTCTATAGGTGCACTTTCATTAAATTATCAAGTCTGTGAATTTTAAGAATTACTGTTCTTCAGTAAATGTGTCATTGAAATGGTAATAGCAGATTCTCTTTATTTTAGGTGATCATCAGTTTTTTTCATATAAAATGTTTTATAAGAATTGATAGTAAGGCCGTCTTAACCTTGACCTCCACCACTCCCACACATTCTTCAGTAAGATTTAATTAACCGTTTAGGTCTTAGATACTCTGGGATTACAGAAGTTGAAGACATTATCTTTAACCTAAACATACTGCTTGATTGTAAAATAAGACATATGTACCACATTAAAGGAAATACTCTATTCATTGAGGAAACATTTCTTCATATCTGTTTCCTTGACTGTAAAATAGATGTTATATCCAGCACATACAATTGTGACAATTAAAATAAGAATTATATATGTTAGCACTGTGCTTAACAGCAAAAAACAAAAACAAATAATAGCTGGCATTATTAATGTAATTAATTTGGGTTATTGCAGGGACAGAAAGCA